CTTTTTTTTTCACTTTTCAACATATATGCAACACTGTAAACACATTTCAAGGAAAACCGATAGGCCTGTTGTCATGAAACTCTCAGGAGTAATCGATTCCAAAAATCGACATGCAGCCTGAGTTGGAAAAGCAGTCTAATTGGCTTCCTTTTCTGGAAGTTATGCATTTTCAAAGTGTGAACTTGAACTCCCATGGGCCTGAAGCCTTATGCTTGTTACACATTTAACTTACGTTGGTATTACCTGTTGAGCATAATAAAAATTTGATGTTGAATTTGCAGCTTAACATAATGTATTTTTGCATCAGAATTGACAGTAGCCTTTTTTGTTATTTCCTGCTTTTTGTCTGTACATTTGACAGCTTTGCTGCCTTGTTTAATATTTTTGTAAATATACCTAATTCCTTAGTTAACATGTTTTTAGCATGTAGTGACAATAGGAATGTCAAACATATACTGTTCCAGGTTTTTGTCAATATCTTTCATATTTGCTAGGGTTTGGGAAACACAGACATGGAGCTGTGAGAAGTGGACCAAGTTGACAGGCAGGTGTCAGGTGAGAGAGTGTGTTAGTTGTACTGAAATTTAAAATTTCTCACCTAGCACACTAGAAACAATGCTGCCAGATTGCATTCATCACACCTAACACAATAACTGGTCTATTGTGTAAATATTAAAGTTGCACAGCTCATTACACTGTGATGCCATAGATATCGCACATTACAAAACCCACCAGCCTCAAATACAAAACAATATAATTATTGGGCTTGAAATTGGCTGTTTGTATACTGCTTGAAGTTATATTATTATCAAATTAAAAGTAACACTGGAGAACCCCCTCCCCCCACCATAATCATACTCTGTAGAGTGATATTAGAAAACCAGAAAAATAATATATGTCAAGTCTAACACAACGTTGATTGCATGCATTCTTCAGGCTGCTTGTTGGAGTCCTGATGGCACTGTACTGCTGTTTGCCACCAAAGAGGAGCCTGTGATATATCTCTTGAAATTCACCTCAACCTTGGATGAAACAGATCATTCAATTGGTGGGTCCAAGGTGGCTGTGAACTCAGTTGACCTATCAGTGGTGGAGTTAGAAAATGAGGATGGACCTCAAAGGTACATGTTGTACCTCTTTGGAATGTTTTTTTTTTTTTTTTTTTTCATCAATTTCTGAAAGTAGGATGACAAAAAAGTGAAATCTGTACAATAACATTTTCTTTCACTATATATATATATATATTGGTCATTTTTGGGGGACAAAGAGAAAGTGTGTAAGTTCCAAGTCATATATTTTTATAATGTTCTAGATTTGTTGCCTTCTAGATTTGGGGGCTGTGTGCAGACGATGGCATGGGATCCTAGTGGAGAAAGACTGGCAGTGCAGTTTAAAGGTAGCGACAAGTGTGTGTGTGTGTGCGTGTGTGTGTGTGTGTGTGTGTGTGTGTGTGTTTGTGTGTGTAATTGGGTATGCATACCAAGAATTGCTTATTTGTGTGTATGTATTTAATGTTTGTCCAAATGCAAGTATGCTTTCTTTTCTTTTTTTTCTGTGGTTGTTGAAAATGATTTTACATGTAAAGTAGTTGTTACTTGCCAATGGCTAACTCTTGGGTGAATTTTTTTTGTATTGAAATATTTCTTTTATTTAGACTAGTTAAGTATTTAGGTAATGTATAAAATTAACTGTTGATTCTATTGTTAACCATGACACAAGATACTGATGTGTAGTACACATGGCAGATGTCTTTAAGACTGCCTGCTGTTTTATGAAAGGTACAAGAAATGTATTTGTGTAGAGCAGGTACTTCAATGTCATTCATTAATAAATATTGTATTATGTTTGTTCTAGGTGAAAACTCAGATCTCATTGCTCTCTTCAGAACTCGTGTGTCACCTGTCTTTGAAATAATGCCATGGTAAGTTTTTATATATATGTTTTTTTCCTAATTTAAATACATAATACATGTTCTAAATATAGTATGCTGGAAAATGTGCTTGTAGAATTGGAATTTAGAATGCCATTGTATGAAATTACAAGCAGGTCAGTTCCTCGTTGAATGGGACTCAAATATATATACCTGTGATATTTTCTTTCCAGTGGTATAGTGAGAGGGGAAGAGGGTGCAGAGGCTCAGATGATTGCCTTTCAACCCAGTTTTGAACAACAGGGGGCACTGCTGTCCGTGGTGAGTAGTGTGTTGATGGTGGACTGTCATTACAGTTGTAGTTGTCGTCTGCTGCTTGTAATCTCAATCTGAGGACATGTAAGATTTCAATAAAAAGAAAATTTATTTGTGTTGAGAAGAAAGAAGTATAGAAATTACAGGTGGTTCCAGTTAACTCAGTTAATAAACATGGTAGAAATTTGAACTATGCAGTGTTGTACTTGGAGAAAATTGCATGGTCCAGTTTCACGTTATGACGGGTTCTCACAAAAATATCCTGCTGCCTGGCAGGTTGAAGATACATCCAGTTCTTTCAAGAAATTCTAAGTACTCCACCGATTTGATCTATTGAAGAGATTTTTGTAGGTCTTGTCAGTTAATTATAATTATCATTGTAATTATTTGTTTATATTACAGGTTTGGTCCACAGGACAAGTTTCATTCATCCCTCTTTTCTTCCTGCCATCATCAGCGGTAATTACTGACAGACCGATGGCAGTCAGGACATCTAATGGACAGATGGAAAATGGCTTTTTGCACACCCATCCAGGCTGGTAAAGATGAAATAGCATGAAGTGAAGGAACAGCGCAGATACTTGAGCAATTATGGTGGTGGTGTAATTGCACGACCCTTGGCTTTAACTTGTATATCGTCTTTGTAATGATTGGTGGAACGATCATATTCTGTCCATTTCACGACCTGCTTTCTCCCAGCTCACTTTGACATAAAATATCTGCCGTTCGTTAATCAAGTATTCTTTTTGTGTAAGTTCACATTCAATCTGGAGATTTCAAGTCTTCTTCAAAGCGCATTGAAAAGTCACAGTTCTTTATATCATTTTAAAATGGTATGATTATAATCCCCTTTAAAGTACAGATTACTCTAGAAAGAATGGTAAGCCATGTGCATGTAAGTATTTACTTAATAAAAATAGCGTCTGTTTGTGTTTGAACCCCTCTATTTATTTATTATTTTAGAGCAGGTTATTAGTACCAGTAACTGGCTGCCGTCTGTTATGGTCCGTCTCCTGTATAAATATCTATATTTTTACTTTTAATCGTGACATCTTTGTGCGAAATTTCTCCGAGCGGTTCTGTAAAAAATACGTCTGGTAACGCACTTAAGAACCAATCGTTTATGTAAAGCAAAGGGCGAGTTGTGTAAGTTTTCATAATAATATGATCATCACGCGGACCTTTCTGTTGAGCCGTGTACAAACAGCGCGTGCCGGAGGGTGCAACTATACTCTTACTCGGTAAGATGAACCAAATTGACAAGAACAAAATTATTTGTGGTGAACCATTTTCTTTTTCAATTTATATGTGTACTGTCAACTCCAATCCATCAGGAAAACCAAAGAGCAGGAAATTGCAAGTGTTTTCCAGAGTTACGTTTGTATTCATCTCTCAAAAACATTCTTTTAACCTAACAAAATATTTGATTGACAAAACAAGACTTTAAAGAAGTTTAAGTTTAACAACAAAGATATTATAGAAATTCACGTTATTTTTTTATAAATCAGTCATCAAAAACAAATATTTTCCTAAACAAGTTGAACGTGAGAGGATAGATCAGGGTTGCTTGCGATTAAATGTAGAAGAAATCACACTAGATGAAACTTCTTTACCAGCAGTCTGGCATGATTTTATAAGCAGTAGATCTAACAAGAGTAAATCTAACTAATTGCCTATTTTAGTGACACCTTATTGAAGCTTCACTGTGAACAATTACACATAAATCTCTTACACATAAATATGACTGCATTCCTACAGATTTAGATAGATCCATATGGATCGACCTAACTCCCTGGGGGCTCACGCTAAATTGCTGTCAGCCGAGCGCGCACTATAGTTAATTACCCCCTTACAGCTTTAAGTAGGCGGGACAGACATTTAAGCCGGTTAAGCTGACACCAATCTAGTGAGACGTCCCAGGGGGATAGATCGATCTAAAAATCTATGGGAATGCAGTCTAAGAGTACTAGATTGTTTGTACAGAAGCGGGTAGTTTTAATGATATATACTGGGTAGCTGCCAATGGTTCTGTGAGGGAGGATGCTTTACTAAGTTCAAACCATGAAGAAGGGGACAGTTTAATTTGGCTTCACAATCTGAATAGTTCACAAAACAATCTGATAATCTTCAGGGGCGGATCCACAGATATTTTCTAGCAGTCTTAATCTTTATTGACCCATCTTTATCTTTATTGATCCATCCTCCATTTTTGACCATCTTCCAACAAAAAAAATTAGATACCTGTCAATGTAAACTTGAAAATCTGACCGTCTTCCAGAAAACCCGGAAGGCAGCCTAAATCCACCCCTGATCTTATCACCAGATACTGATGTACTAGAAATAGGGCTTGGTTTATATGATAGCAGAGAGTACCTAGATAAACACATTTTGATAAAAAAATAAGTTGTAAATTGTATGAGGAAACATATGTTAATGTTAAAAAGGCGCATGACCACATAGTGAATGATCCCGGCTTGAATAGGTTAGACAAATCAAAGGTAGGTAAAATTATTCTGGATTTGTTCATATTTTCTGTATGTGATTATGTTTCATATTGAACGGGATGTTGTCCTCCCGTGGGTAAATATTTCAAACTACTGACAAGAGTGGCTTTCCATTCATATATTTATAAAAAACAAAAAGACAAAAAACAAAAATGTATATGGAAAGATAATTTGATAACGAATTAAAGTAATGCAAGCACTATGTAATACTCAGTCTCTAATGTCGATAGCGTTACTTCGAATATCTCCTTAAAAGTCTTGGGCCAATATTCTGGTCACAAGGTTCTGGTAATTTTTTTCTCTGAGCTTTTTCGTTGCGACGATTAAAGTCACTTTTCGTTCATCGAAGTTCAGGTAGCGTTTCACCAAGCTCAGTTGTTTTACAAAGCACACTATAATTACAATTGGCATTTTTCAAAATTAAATAGCAGACCACAGCTGTTAAGACAGTCTTAAGATTCAACGACAACGTATTTAGTAACCTCTGAACTCTTGATTGCGTCTGGTCTGGAAGTTGATCATCTACGTGGGATGTTGCATGGGAACGTCTGCTGACACTGTCTATCTAGAATTTAATGTCATGCTGACTGTCACACAGTCCTCCTGGTTGAGGACATCACCACATGCTGGGGGGGGGGGTCTGCCATTCGTTTGGCGAATTGCCTAGGACTCTTCAGACTTTTGTCTGGAACCAAAGTTTCTGACTCCCAGACGGTAACAAAAAAAAACCACACCCCTGGTCTGGAAATGCTCATCCGACCTTCCATGCCGGGCACATAACAGGACCGTACATTTTGTTCGTTGCCGGCCTCCAACGGCACCACCTGTGTTTGTTCCACAGTCTACAATCATGGGTGCCGGCTTCCAGTCAGCATCTCTTCAGGTTCGTGTCAGGTTCTTTTGGCTCAAGGGAGGACTGGATTCTTGTAGCTTGAACCCTGCAGCACCCGAAAGCATTGCTTTGGACAGTGGGCAGCATGTTCTAGCAGATTCAACCACAGGCGGTGCCCTTCGGATTACATCGCTTGGCCTGTGGCTCCTAGACTTTGCCTCCCAATAGCGAGTTTCCATCGAGGACGTCACTTTCTTTGTAGCTTGCTGGACCACAGCAACGTTCATGGTGAACTGTTTCGATCTACCATTGGAAAGGTTCAGCAACTGCACCAAAAATCGGATTCTTGGCCACTTTTCTCTTAAGTGCTTGCATTACATTAATCAACAAAACTTTACAAAAAATAAAGCGTTAAAATTACATTTATCATATTGAATGCATATAATTATATATAATTCCCATTCCTTTAATGTGTAAGCTAATCGGAATTCTCGCTGAGGTTAACTCTCAGAATTGTTTTAGTAACTTTTTATAATATCCTGTTATAATAAGAGAGAAAATTTAACAATTAGCCGAAACATCATGCATCATAAGTCATATTAATGAAACTCATCTTATGACTGCCTGTTAATATTTTTGGTTCACTTTATAGTCTCTGCTCGCCTTGTCTAGATTCGACTCGCCTGTGTCCCGTATATAGTCTTTAACCTTTCATTAAATATTTTGACATTATGCTTTGGGATGTCTTTCTAAATTAACGTAAAATATTTTCTTATAAAATTATTACTCAGCTGACTTTCAAATGAGAAAATGAGCATGACTACAAGTGACTAACAGCGACTAATGAGAAAATGAATGAAACCATATGGGGAACGATTATGACGATATAAGAAAATCAACATGATCATATATGGAATTGACAGTGACTTATTGAGAAAATCAGTGTGACCACATGGAATGATTATAACCAGATGAGAAAATAAAAAAAAAAATTGATCAGTTTTTCCTCAGCATAAAAAGGTCTCATAAACATAGATTGAAGCTTTGTGAATTTGGTCTTGAATTTTTAAAATTTTCCTTTCATTATGATTTTTTTTATTATAATGAAAACAAGGCAGGAAACTGTCAAATGTGCAGACAAAAAGCAGGAAATAATGATGCACAAAATAGGCTACTGTCAATTTTGATGCAATAATACTTAATGCTTTACAGCAAAGTCAAAACCAAATTTTAATTATGCACAACAGGTAATACGGATGTACGTAAAATGCGTTACTAGCATAAGGCTTCAGGTCCATCAAAGTTCAACTTCACACTGTGAAAATGCCAGAATGAGAGAAAAATAAAGTGAAAGGACTTTCCTCAATACTGTACCAACTACAGATAGTCTAAGGTGACCTACGCCTACTGGGAGACCGTTTTAGCTTTCCTAATTGATATATTGGTTCTAGGAAAGTCCTTTGAAGATCACATAAAAGATTAAAGGGAAGCCCTCGCAAGATTCCGTGCCTATGGACCGAAACTTAAACCCGAAAAATTTGCGTTCTTTCGAGAAAAATCGAGTTTCTAGGCTGCACAGTGACGGGAGACACCCTCGCCGTGTAGGATCACGATGTGAAGGCTGTGGAAGATTGGCCAATTCCAGAATCTTCTAAGAACGTGGGAAGATTCATGGGCCTAGCGAACTATCACAGGGCTTGCTAACCCCCACTGTGTGAAGTGACTGGAAAGAAGAACTTTTAAATGGGGAGAGAAGCTGGAAGCGTCCTTTAATTGCTTAAAAGAAGCGCTTACTTCACCCCCAGTTCTTGCAGTTCAAACGGGAACTGATGAGCCACACTGGATACGGACGCTAGCGAATACGCCGTATGAGCCGAACTGATCCATGTTCAGAACGGACAGGAGAGGGTGTTTGCTAATGGTAGTTATGGTCTCACTAAAGAGCAGAGGCACTATTGCACAACCGGCAAGGAATTTCTGGCAGACGTAAGATTCACAAGGCAGCTCAGACATTACTTGTTGGGAAAACGTTCAGAGTCAGGACTGGCCATTCTAGCCTAAGATGGTTGATGAAATTTCGGGAGCCGCAGGGGCAATTGCAATAAAATTATAGTATGGTGCTATATCATCGTGCTGGGCGCAAATATGGGAAATCGGACACTCTGTCCAGAGTTGGCCACGCAAGTAAGACTGTGCATAACCTTCAGCACCAAAGGGCTTCTGGATGACCTACCATGTGATAGGTGCGAGTATTGTAAGTGGGTAAGAGGAACTGGGCCAGGTTTGAAGAAAAAATGGATGATGTAGTGCCATAAGCGACTTGGAGAGTTGATGGCACAGATCCACTAGATACATCCAAGGTGATTTTTTTTTATCTGACTAGAATGGAAACGATGACAAGACAGTCAATGCTGTAACAGTGGACTCAAAGAGGGAGTATACTGAACAGTCAGTGTTCTGGGAGAGAGCAGAAAGTATCCCAAGGGCGGGCATAGAAGATATGCCAGGGTGCATAGTTTTACATGCTGTGATTAAAGGTTTTCCCTGGGAACCAGATATCATCCAGGTGAATGTATTAGA